CTGGGATCGAGTCCCACATCGGGCTCCCGGCTCAGCGGGGAGCCTGCTTCTCCCTCTGACCCTCTCCCCTCTCACGCTGTTTCTCTCTCGCTCACTCTCTAAAAAATAAATAAAATCTTTAAGGACAAGATGGTTTTCCCTTAGGCTATTTGTTTGCAAAGCAGGTGCACAATGTATGCTTGATGAGCCATAAATCAGGCTTTTGGTTTCAACAAAGTTATGTATCATCATGCTGACTTAGAAAGAAATCTTCAAGTGGCGGGGTGCTTGGCTCAGTCAGTTAAGCGTCTGCCTTCAGCTCAGGTCATGATCCCAGGGTCCTGCGACCGAGCCCCACATCTTCCTCTGCCCCTCACCCCACTTGTGCTCTCTCTCTCTCTCAAATAAATCGTAAAAACAACAACAACAAAACTAGAGTGGCTCCCCTTAAATCTCAGGCCTTTAGAGAGTTTTTTCTTCTTATTGGATCTCAGTTAATATGACCAGAAATCAATCATTCACTAACCAATTGCCCACGAGGGTGAGGATTTTGGCTAATTTTTAAGATTGTATCCCCAGTGCCCAGCACAGTGTCTGACATGCAGTAAATGCTGGACAAATGTATGTGTTGATTAATGAGTGAATTAATTCTTTAATAGGGCAAGGAGCATATTTATTCTTTTTTCAATTTATTTTTTATTTTTTGGAGCATATTTATTCTAGGCCAGGCCCTGAGCTGGGCAATGGTTGGACAGTGCTGAGTGAGACAGCCCCGGTCCTGTCCTCAAGGTACTCACAGTTCAGTGGGGAAGGCAGATCCATCCTCAGACAATGGTGACCCTGAGGGGGCAGAGGAAGACCAAGGGGGCAACCAGGAGGGCTTCCTGGAGGGGACAACCGAGTTGAATATTGAAGGACAAGGAAGAAATGAACCAAGTGAGGGGAGTGTTTCAGGTGCAAGTTCTGAGGGTTTTGTTCTCCCACCTTCCTCCTATTTCCCCAACAAACTGTGACAAAGCCCCTCTGGGTTCCAGCATCCCCCCTGACCTGAGAGGTCACTGTAAGGGATAGATCTGTCACCCCCACACAGGCTGCCAGCCCTGGGAGGGAAGGGCCACAGCTGTTGTGGTCCCTGTTGTGTCCCCAGAGCTGCCTAGCATGGCAGGGGGGCTCAGGGAATGTTTGCTGAATGAATATTCGAGTTTTCTGTGTGTGTTGAAGTGTGTGAAAGAGTTGTGTCTTATATGAAGGGGATTGAAGTTCAAATGCCTCAACCCTCAATTTCCCACCCTGAGAAATAGTGTAACAGTGGTTAAAGCATCAGAACCCAGCTGCCAAAATTGCTGCCTTTTGACAGCATCTGTGTGTCAATGTTCTCATCTGTGAAATGGTAACTCCCTGTAGGGTTTTTTGAAGATTAAATGAGATATTCATTCGAAGTGCTTACAATAATGCCTGGAATGCAGTCAATGCTCATTGCATGTTAGCTGCCCCCCCCCATCCTGTCTTCTCTGCTGTTTCAGCCAGAATTCTCTCCTGTCCCCATCTTTAATCTCCAACCATTTGAGTCACCCGTATTTGCCCTTCCCTGTGACATTTCGCGCCTCAGAGCCTCCGTACATGCTGTTCCCTCCGCACCCGCCCCGCTACGCCTGAACGCGTCCACGTGGAGAACTCCTACTCAGCCACCACCACTTCAGCCGTTATATCACCCCTCCAGATCTCCAGGTTTCAGAAGCCAGTTTCTGCCGCTTTCGGATCAAAGTCTCCTTTACTGTCCCCCACCTTCTGACCCTTCTCAACGGTCCAAGTTCTGGAGGGGGGGGCCCGGGGCTAGTGAAGCATCCTTTTCATTGGTTTTCTTGGTGCTCTGTCGCCCTCTTGTGCCCAGTCTTAGACCTGCGTGGAAGAAGAAATGCGATTCTCTCCCTGTGACCCG